TGCAAAAATGTATGGGGAAGCAGGAAACCTGGAGCCCAAGATATGGCAACGTACACAGACCCTTGCTTTGTAATTGTGTGCACTGTAGACCATCTGTCTAGCAGTTAAATACACTCCCGTTTAAATGAGCAACTACATTTAATGGACAAAATATTAAGATCACTGAGGGGTGAAGTTTTTTATTTGCAGTGTGCAAGTGCCAGAGTGGAACCACTTGTACATTCTCAATACTATACGACTTTAAAATAACTAAGAAAAATTACTATTTACCTGCTGCATACCAAAAACTTGCTGGTTTTAAGTGAATCATTACAAACTGGAATTGAAAGCCTGATGGTCTCATGGCCTCCATTCCAGAAGTGTAAATCAGGCTGCAGCTCAGCTACTGCTGTTGTGAACTCTTTAAACATATAGAAAGTGAAAAATACTGGGATGAATGGTTTAATGACTTTACTTGAAGTATTTATTGTCATTTCAATCATCTTTTAAACAAGACAGGACTGAAGAGATCTTTCCTAAACACCTTAACTAATAAGTTGTCGGTGTTTAAACAACAATTACTGTACAAAAATGAAAATTAGCTGATGTGATCAAGCCATATGGCTAATATAATTGATTTGTTCAGATTTTTAAAAATTACAAAAACAAAGCCAAAGCAGCAGCATAATGTAATTTACAAATTTAACTAGAGGTGATATGGTCTATTTAGTTCGACAACAAATAAGGTCTTCCTGGTGTTTTAAATGAAATAAAATGAGGGAGGGACGACGTGGGGTCCTAAATAGACCCGACCTGGAAAAACGAATTTCAGAATGCTGGGGTCAGCAAAGTCACCGGCTGTTAAGCAGGGCAAGTGCTGATATCGGGGGCTGAGGAGAGAGCGCGGTTTGGAGCAGCAGCCTGGTGTCCCCGAGCAGCAGCCTGGTGTCCCCCAGCAGCAGCCTGGTGTCCCCCAGCAGCAGCCTGGTGTCCCCGAGCCGGGCTCGGTGCCAGTCCCCGCCCTGGCCGGGCCCCGCGGCTCCCCTCGGGTGCTACCCCGGCTCCTGGAAAGCAGGCAGCTCCCGAACGGGACAAAGCTGTGGGCACGAAGAGGTACCCAAAAGGCTCGGGGTCGGCTTTCTGAGTGCTTTTCCAATACTCCTGAAACTTGGATTCGATCCGTAATTTTTAAGACTTGCTCACTGTCTAAGGGAACCGATATTTCCCCTTTTGATTGACTCGCACTCAGCAAAAGAGAGGGAAGCCATAATAAATCTGCATTGGAAAATGTATTTGTTTGTGTTTCTTCACTCTGAAGTTTTTCAGAGCCTTTCATAGTTACCTTGAGGATATGTTCTTTCCTTTGCCTGATTACTGCTGTGTGAAGGCTTCTCGAAACTGTCTGAGAAAGGAAATTTTGAGTCCGGACTAGCAAAGGAATGGAAGTTTGGGAAAGGGAAAGCTTTGTTTCCCTGGCAAGTGCAGTAGACTGCAAAAGCTGTGTGGAGGAGTCCTGCGGGCTGGTGTGCGCTGTGGGGGAGTTTTAGCCCTCTCAGAAACACTCCACAAGCACCCTATAAACGTATTTGCTCTATAGCAAATACCCCGAAACGATTTTATGTTTAGAATTAGCTTGATTGTTTTCTCGTACAAAGCTGCTCTGGTCCTGACGACCACCTCACACTGGAGAATAACGCCACGAGAAGTTGGATGTAAAAGCCTCATTTGCATAGTTTAGAAACTATAGACACGGCTTAACCTAGCACTCCTCTGAAATTCTCTCCCGTCGCTAATAAGTAAAAGTCTCATTAAGGTGCTCTGAATCGAGTTTTAATAATGTGCTAATAATCTCTTGCCACTGGTTAGAAAAGGGAGGCTTTGAGGCGGCTGGTGCGCTCGGAAGGAGCTCCATCCCGGCGCACAGGCTGCCCGCCGAGGGGCTGGGCAGGAGCGCTCCCAGGGGACACGGGACGAGGCAGCTGCGGCCTTTGGCACCCCGGACCCGCACAGTGCCGCGGGGAGGACGGGGCGGGCAGTCCTGCCTGCTGCCTTACACCCCGTCAGGGAGGGGGGAGATTGATTGATGGATTGATTGATTGATTGATTGATTATCTTTTAAAAAAGTACTTCAAACCAGATTCTGTCCCTAGCATCATTTTATCAAGAAAATATCTAAGATGATGTTGGGTTGGTTTCTTCCCTGTCATGAGAGTCCTTCTTGGTGGAAGGAAAATTGGGAGTGGGAGAGCCGAGCCTCCCTCTTCCCGGCGGGTGCACGAGACCTGGAGCGGCACCACAGGCCCCCGGGACCAGAGGCCGACGCTCATGAGAAAAGATCTCTTTTAGCTGAAAAGATCATCCATGATTCATGATTTATCAGGAATTCAGCTTCACTCTCTCAGACCCAACATACCACACAAGGCCTTCAGAGATTGTTTTTCTGCTTGTAATATTGACTTCCCTACTGCGTCTCCTTGGCTCGTTACTATTATCATCTGGGTTTAAATTTCTCTTTTTAAACTGTGTAATCTTTCTTCGGTTGTGCATCCTAGAGTAAAAAAACGGGCATCATTTTCACATCAAAGAACTGTCAGTACCCCTTATGAATTGCTGCCCCTCGCATCCTCTCTAAAACACTACCCTTGACATCCGAGCATGCGGAGCACGGTAGAGATATATCGTTGTAATCACAGCCCTTATAATTGAGTGTTGTGCCGGGGAGCCGCAGCTCAAGGGGCCTCCTCGAGGCGGGGCGGACGGACACCCGCACTGTCGCAGCCGGGGCAGGGACGCTCACACCCAGAGCGAGCCGCTCCTCCGCGCTTCCACCGGGCAGGGCGCTGCCCCCGGCAATCGCCCACCGGCTCCGAGGAGTCGCTCTGAGACTGCGAAGAGGAGCCGGGACACAGTTCTCGGCTGGCGCGGCCTCCCTGGGGCTGCCCACCTCCCTTCCCTTGGGCTTTGCTCGGCTCGAGCCTCTGCCGTGCTCCGCTGGGCTCCCCCGGCCGGTGCCCAGCAGGTGGGGGACCAGCGGGGTCCGTGTCACCCGGGTCTCCGCTCACACTGAAGCTTTGCAAAGTTTCTCCCCGACGCGCTCCCCCCGTCCCCGGAGCGTGGGCAGCCGCGGTACATCCCACAGCGCTCCCTGCTCCTTGCCCGCTCCCTCCGCCCCTCTCCGGCTTGCCCTGTCGCCTGTCCGCGGTCGGCGGACCGGGGGCAGAGCGGCGGGTCCCGTTCCCTCGGTGACGGTGGTGCTCCAGGGCTAGCGGGGCTGGGGACGTGCGCGGCGCTCAGCCGGGCCTTGGCGGCTCCCCGAGCCGAGCCGCAGCGCTCGGTTTGGTCACCGAGAGAGCTGGAGCCGGTGCCAGAGGAGATCAAGAGAGCTGGGAAGGATAGCAGTCCTGCCTGGAAGGGGGGCGAGGCAGCACATAAAGGGGAGCTGCAGTTTCCTGCCCTGTCTCGTACGGAAATCAACCCAAATCATTAAAAATATATGTACTTTCTTGTCATGGAAAAGGAGAGTCATATCTGGTTTTGTCATTTGGTGGGGATTAATTAACGCGAAATGGCTTCACCAGATGACGGAGCGAGAAGACCCCTTTCTATTCACCCTTGAGCTCCATGTCCAAAGCAGGGAATCAGAAGCCGCATCCCTCCCGTGTCCCCGCCTCCCGGGACTCCCCTCCGGGCTGGCATCCGCTACCCAGGACCCCAGCCCACTGCCAGGGCACGGCGGCACAGGTCCAGCCTCGGGCCGGCGATTTTTAAGGGTGAACCCTGCATTCGCAATGCTGTTCCACCAAGGCCTTGCTGGCAGAGAGGCAGGCGGCAGAGAGGGCAGTAACGTTTTGAAACGGATCCGACAAGTCTAAAATTCCCTGTGTGCCCGGGGAAGGCTCGGGCTGCTCCCCGGCCCAATGGCTCCGTCAGGCGTGAAGCTGCTATTTCAGGTCCTCCTGAAACAGTGTCTCGGTCATCATCATCCTCACACTGATCTGTGAGCTCCTCTTCCATTAGCGCGGACCTGTCGAAATCCATGTGTGTCCCTTTTCTGGCTGATTACTAACTTCAACCCGTTAGAGGTAATGTTGGAAAACTGCGTTATTAGCTAGCCTGAAGGTAATTAGTACTTCCCCCTGCCATTGCGTCTGTTGTACAACGCAGCATGTAAAAGCCGAGTGTCAGCCCCGCGCATCTGATATTCCTCCCACACAGACCACTCATGGATAATGAGTCAAGAGCCCTAAGCGGAGTCCAAGCAAAAAACACTTATCAGAGTCTCTCTTGGAGGACAGTAATTAATTGCGTCCTCGGAAACATCAGGTGCTCCCTCTAAGAGACTTGCTGGCTCTTTTGGGGGGAGGTGAATTTGCCGGAGAATTAAGGGAAGCGTTTCCAGATGAGTTTTGCCTATTGTTGTTAAAACACGCACAAGCAAGCATGCACACCCCCGCACCACAGTGCAGCGCTTTCGCCTTTCTTTGGTAAACATTGTTTAAACAAACACCTCGCCTCGGCTGCTGCAGCCAGAGCTGCTCCCAGCTTTAATAAAGGCACAGGGAAGACCAGAACCAGCGTCCAAGACTGCTGCTTAATCCAATGAAGGCAATTTCCGAGGATAATTGCGAACATGTTTTAATGCATATGCATGAAAAAGGATTTTTTTCCGAGAGACCGACTTTACATGCTTATGTAATTGATTGAGGCGCTGACCCGCTATTCAAAATGTTATTTGAGAACCATCAGAATGCGTAAACTTGCAAATTGCCCAGCTTGTATCTGAATTAATACCTCATTCATCATCATTATGGGTTGATAAGTTAATTTAACCATTTCATTCTGCCTTAATGAGCTATAGTTAAATTAATGCCACATAATATATGAAAGTAACATTTAAATAGAAGCACTGGGCTGAGACAAACAGAGGCTGCTGCTATTTGGGCTGAAAGAACGTGACATAAATCTTTTCTTCATTACAGGATCCAGTCTGTTCTACCAGCAGTTATGAAGTATTTATTCAT